ATATTAGGATATACTTGTCTGTAGTGGAGCATTGAGAAATTGGCCTTAGTAAGTGAATTTACTAAGTGAACCCATGGGAAGAGCTGTAGAACTGCACTAATTCCACAGTACTGAGGACGTCTCGTGCCCCAGAGAAAGCTGCTATGTCAAATGCGTGAATAAGGGCTGCCAAAGCCAGTTCAGCTTAGCTCCACATTGCTACATATCAGGATGATGTACACATGTAAAATATTTTCTAGAGGTTTTGCCAAAACATCATCAGAATGCAAACTTTTTTTAAACTGAAGACAATCCATAGGTAAAGCCACTGCCACTATCTACAAATGCAGAACAACTCACCCATTTGTGCTTTTTGGTAACTTCCATTTAGAGAAATAATTACCACTTGCGTTATTGCCATGTATACGTAGTATAAGGTTCTTTGGAAAAAAATGCTGCTGGACTAGGACACCCATCAGCCATAACCAGAATACACAAAGGGTGAAGGACTATGGGACCAGCAACCTAGCAACGGTAAGAGGGCCACACGTTCCCCACCCCTATTTTAAAGGACTATAAGAGTATTAGAAACAGGTTGACAAATTAGAATACGTCATCAAAACGTGAGCATTTTGCCCATTCTAAGGTATTGTGCTAGACATGCTTCATTAATTAACACAATTTTATAAACACGTTTGTTTGACCCATCCTTATTTCCAGCCCCTTAACAGGAATAAGAACAGTTAGTAAACCCGTTATTCTAGATGGAACACAGCATTATTAATGGCTTATTTCCCTCTTCTGTAAATTGGTGTTGCCCACAATTTCACATACCCATATTCTATAGATGTTTATGGAGCCTCTTAGGGCCCATAACATCCAGCTACCTACCCTTTCCACCTTTTATCACCCTGCTGCTTCCCGCTGCTGCCATCCTTCCTCAGCTTCATTTCTTACAGTAGATCTCAACAATGGCTACAAGGTACCCTGTCTACACATTTCTCCCCTGCACTTCCAAGCTTATTCCACCGAGCTGGGAGAGTTGCATGCCAATCTGGTTCAAAGAGGGAAACACTGCTTGGAGAATACAGTACAAGCCTGTTTTCAAACCTTATTTACAGCTACAAGAGTTACAAGTCAACTGTGATGCTGAGGTAGAAAGTCCCTTACTCCACCTCTGAAATATTTCCTCCTCTTCAAACATTAACCTTAACAAAATCTCCGTGTTTATTCCATGTGTTATCATTCAAGATTTCCCTCTGAAGACAAGAGTCCGTAAGTAAACTGTTTCATTTGAAGAGTAAACACTACACTAAGTATCTCTGGACTTTCCTTACCTTGCCACTAACTCTGGCTATCCGCTAACAACTGACCTAGTCATAGTCTAAGCTCTGACACAACAGGGTGTACAACTTTGTGGAGGCCAAATTGCTCCTGAAACCCTTACCTACTGTGGGCTGCAGGCACACACTGTGGCTGGTTGCCAAAATCTGGTAAGAAATCATGTTACTGAAATCCTATTTTGCTTGCTTTAGTAGATGGGGGGTGGGGTGTTTTTCTGATTTGCCACAAAATTTCAGCAACATGTTAACTGTTGCAAGGCATTTAAAGCAAGGATTCAATTCTGTTTTCTCAGTGACTGCTAAATGTTGGCAACAACCAACTACAAGGCACTTAAAATAAGCAAAATGCTCGATTCAAGAGGGATTTTCCTGGATTGCTGCTGCAACCTGGCAGCATTGATCCGCCACACTGTTTTGCAGTTTTCAGGGCTGCCTTGGGTTGCACATGACCCTGTAGGCTGAAAGGCATGACACGTATTTCAACAACACGTTCAACTTTATCTCAAAACGTTGCAGTAGTCCTGCTGAGGTTTGCCTCCTAAATACTTCCTTCAAGGCAATTCTAATGTTGCTGGGAGAAGAACTGGTTTCCCTGCAGATATACAGACTGAAATAATGGGGTTCAGCAAAGACTCCAATCCTATTCAGTCATTTGGAAATCACAATTACTTACCACAGGCAAGATGGGGGCACTTTAGCCTCCCTCTGTTTCGGTGTCACTGTTCTCTTACTCGTTCAGGAGATGCTGATTTTCCAGGGTCTCAACCCAAATGAAGAATAATTTAGGATAGCAGAAGCTCTTGTCTTCAGACTAATTTCCGTACATGTGCAGGAGCATACTGACACTAGAAACAGAAGGGGTAGGGCTATAGCACTCCTTTCTATCTGTGGCAACTAAATGTGATTTCCAAATGAGTGAAGAAAGCTATAGTAATAGTAATGGTAACAACAACAGTAACAAGAACAACAGCAACAACAACAACAATGTGCTGTCAAGTCAATTCTGACTTATGGCAATCCTTTTCTGTCTGGGTTTTCTAAACAGATAATACTCTGAAGTGTTTTATCATTCCCTTCTTCTAGGGGTGCCCTGGGACTGTGCAGCTGGCCCAAGGCTACACAGGCTGGCTCTATTCCTAGGAGGCACAAGCAGGAATCAAACTCCCAACCTCTGGCTCCACAACCAGATACCTAAACCCCTGAGCAATCCAGCCACCCATAAAGAAAGCTATATAAAGAGTTATTTCTAACTAAGGCTAGTTGACTACTCATCCAGTTTCTCAATTACATTTTTACATGATATTATTCTATTTATCTTCTGGCTACACAAAAATTCTCCACCTACAGCCTTTTGGGAGGTATTTGAAAAGAGACGTAGTTTTTCTAAAATATAATTTACAGGCTCCACAAGAAAAAGCACCCTGACTTCGTTAATTTTACTTCCTACCATTATGTTCTCTCATCTGGTTGAGATTCTTACAGAGGTAACACTCTGTACTGTAGTAACACCTACAACTCCAAAAAACTGTAGGCGTTGAAATGTAAATACCTTGGACTTTACTGGAAGATCCACAATTGAAAGCCTGCTAAACACTGTGTTCCCAACTACCTAGAACAGTTAGTTAAATTGTGCTCCTGGCTAACTGTAAAACCAGGCAATGAGAGCTGAGAAGAAAATAAGTTGGTTGAGGAGAAATAATACTAAGCATTGCAAATACTTACATGGCATTGCATGGTATATGCTTGGCCAGTATTGACCGCTGTCTCTCTTCAGCCAGACACGAACAATTCTGGAGGGGGAGAGGGGGGGGGAAGAAGCATGTTAAATATGTCCCATGAATGGCTTTTTTTTAAAAAAAAAATGGATACAAGCTGCTGACAATGAAAATTTGGCCAAAGCAAGGAGTTTTGGAGATGTGTCAGTCATTACGAGCTAACCAAAAGAGCTTTAATGGTCCTAATGACACCCCCCTTCTGCTGAAAACTATAGAAAGGAAATGTTGAATCACACTTACATCATATAGAAATTAGCTAATTTGTGCAAGTCTAAATAGGCATCTCTAACTGCAAGCCTTATCTTGCGATTAACTTATGGATTCCTTTATTCTTCAAGAAGGGCTGTTCATTTTTCCATTAATTCTTGATGTCCAGAGTCTGGTGCACAGAAAGAGGAGGCCTGAACTCTGGGTTTATTTTGGCTCTCTGGGGCCCCCAACATCTGTGAGGTCAGGACTCCATCAGCTTCCCAAGCTCCAACTGAGTGATGACAGCTTTGTTTCTATATCAGAAAGTCAAGCGCACTGGGCAAGCCGCCACTTGGAAACTCAGTTTGGTTTTTTATGTTTGCTGCATTTAGTAAACACAAGTTAAAGAACACCATGCTGAATTTTATATGCTATATAAATATGGCAAACAATGTTCCCATAGCTGAAAGTAGCTGAACTTAAATATTCTCCTGGGAGGTACAAATTAATAACGCACACTCAAAGTTCTATTTCAACAATTCAAAGGTTTATCTAGAAAAGTTAAGGTGCAACTACACTGGCAAGCCAAAGCAGAGCAATTCAGCTTTGCTGAGGCTTGATTTGGCGCCTATTTTAAGTTTCTCTTAGGATTAGGTGATCACGAAGAGACTGGATTGTTTCGGTGTGACTGTCCACACTAGCCACTCAATACAGCCGCCCCCCCTTTCTTTATTCCCACTTTCTGCTAATCCTCAGCGTTCTTTTTACAGTTCCTTGTAAACCCGGCGGGTTGTTTAAAGTGTTGCATGGCGTTAGGGGAAAGGGAGAGTTTTCTAAAGTACTCCATAACATACAAACACATCCATACAGTACTGCAGAAGCATAGTAGTCTGCTATATTTCATCAGAATTGTTTCTACTGAATTCTCTTTCCCCCCCCCACCTCTTTTGGTCCATGATACGATGATACAGCGCTAAACTCACATGATGATCAGCACCCTCCCTTCCATTCCTGGAAGGCTTTCAATCCTGTGGAGGGTTCCCACTCGGAGAAGAGAAGGCAAAGCCAGTGCCACTGATTTCCAATGCCTTTCCCCCAACCCTCCGGAGCTAGATTTTCAGGGGGTCCAAGGGACGTACGGGTGGAGGCTACCTCCCTACTCCCATAGGTCAGAGAGTCCTATGGACTGGACTCTTACTGCAATGCTTCTGCCACTGAAAGGAAACTTACGTGCCATGCTCAAGTCTCTAAATTTACAAGGAGTTTTATTTCATAAGGATTTAACTTGGAAAAAATAGTTTTTCGACCCCAAAGGTGCGTTCGTACATTGAAGCATTAGTTCCCATAGGAACTAATGCAAAGCTGGTTAATACGTACTCTACCACTAGGGGGAGAATTTTTTTTAACCTAAGATGACCTTAAAAAAAGAGCAGGAAAGGTTTTTTTCCTGTTCTTATCTTGGATTTCTGTTCTCAAGTAGAAGTAAAATTTAGCAAATGGAGCTGTTCTTAAGTTGGATTGTTCTTAAGTAGAGACGTTCTTAAGTAGAGACCCCACTGTAGTTTTTCGACCCCATGCCACTGTTCAATTTTTTTCAGTAGCCATTCAATTAACTGCAGCGAAGAGGAAAAATAACAACAAAGGGGTACGAGTTGGCTAGTATTAACCACTTATTGGCTTTTCCTGTCCTACAATGGCCGCCATCATGCCATTCATGTAACAGCATGAAGAACGGAGAGTTCAGTGGTTCCTTGTTTTCCTCTTGGTTCCCCCACTTTGTTCGTATGTGTGCATTTTGATGGCAAGCCTATTCGCAAGCCCTGTTTCTTAGTTTCTGCACAGCACTTTGGAAGCTTTAATAAGACGGCCGTGGGAGACACTCACCCACAAGGACACCTTGTTGCGCATACACAATTCAAAACAAAAGCTTCTGCAAACTCTTAACATCTTTTTTGGATCCGAAAGCAGCAGCAGATCTGAGATGCCAAGTTTTATTCCTGTGCACAGTGAAGCCGGCTAACAAACTTGCAATGAGCATTAACAGTCAGTCTGCTTGTAAATTATTTATTTTTAAAACAAAAAAACATTGTTGTTGGCTTTCCAGTGAATTCTTCATGTCCTAGGTCAACTGTAATCCAGTACGCATAAAATATCTAGTAAACAAAACTCAAAAAGAAACAGCACCCTTAATTTTACATGTCATAGAAATACAGTAATTGCACGATACAAAGCAGGAACAGAAGAGCACTTTGCTCTTTGTTATGGTTCAATGGCGCTCCGCTCAGAATTGGCTGCATTTGGTATTGAGTGCCCGTTTCTTTGCCCGCCACTTTACATTCATTAAAATAAATAAATAAACCTGCTTCCTTTAGATTCTGTGTAAGGATGACAAAGAAAGAGGCCACAACCCGAAAAGCCAGTTTCAAGAAAATGCATTAGGCTGAAGGAAAAATACTGTTTAAATGCCTGAGAAAGTCTACCTCTCAAGAAAATCCCTGTAAGAATCCACTAAGCTTTCTGGCCTAACCATGCCACAGGGAAAAAAAGAAAAAGAAAAAGATACTGAACAACAGTTTTATGCAAGTTATTTGCTCTTTATTCTCTCTCACACACGTACACAAGTGTCACTACCACTCTGAGGTATTTCTTGCATGAGAGCTCTACAGAATTCATTTATATCTTATATTTTTCATGTCCATGGTAAACACAAACATACACACACATTTGCCTTGAGACACATCTTGTATATCAAAAAATTGGGGCTTGCATGTTTTTTGATTTAATACTTTATACTTCTGGCCTAACTGATACTTTATGCAGGAGTTCACATTTCTTACACCGATTGTGTGAGCTTCAAATTATAATTTTGAAAGTGCAATCCATTATCGTCATCATCATTAATTAGTTAAATTTAGAAGCTCCCTCCTTCCACATTACTAAGAGGGCAATGGAAAGTCAGTCCCATCATTCCTGAGGCATCTTTTCACTACTGATCAGACATCAGACTCTTCTCTCCTACTGCTCTTCCTCAGCCTAAACACATATTTCAGGGCAACTTTTTTTTGATCCCAGAGAGGCGTTTATCTGCTCCTTTGGGGCTTCTGCCCCACCATCAATACAAAACGGGGAAGCCAGCATGTGTCAGATCCATGAGGATTAATTAACTAAACATTTGATTCAAGACTGAAGGTTCTTTTGACAGAAGGACACCACTGAATAAAATCTGGACTGGCACCGAATCAATAATTTCCTTGTTTCCTTTTAACTCACTTATATGTACATGATTTAGTCAAAATATTGTTTTGGCCACCTTATAATCTATTTCATACCTACATGCTCTTTTCCCCCTTAAAAGAACTCAGAGAAACCAATAAGACCTAAATACTAACGTAGAGGTGACTGATTTTAGGAAGTTAGTTACGTATCTGATTGCATTTTTCCTTTTATTTTATTTTTGGCTTGTAAGAAAACTTCAGTTTTTTAAGTTTGCAAAAAAAAAAAAGTGAAAGCAAGTGATGGGATGCAGCACACTGTATTTTATTCTAGTGTTGCTACTCGAATAATTTTAAGGTCTTTTATTACTATTATTTCCTATTTAATATTTCCTAATTCCTATATATTATACTAATATTACACCATCTGAACTGAAACTCACTGCAAACTACCAAACTATTTACGTATATGCAAGTCTGCTATAAGTCAAGAAACGAAGTAGACAGCTGCTAATCTACCCTAAATACTTCCCTAAGATGCCTAAAATGTATAGTTGATACCATAAAGCAGAAACCTAATCAAGCAACTTTAATCTCCCCCGACAGATGTTAGATAATTAGTCTGAAACAAGTACAACTGAGCCCAAATATCCTATTTGTATGATTCACCAACTCCACACCCTTCCTTTGTTGGTACATCTTTATTTTCCACTCTGATTAAATCCAGTCTCCTCCCCTTTCAACCCATATCAGATATTATGAAACAGCATTTGTGTGATTGTTTGACTGATTTGTATCCCATTTTTTCTGGGAGTCAATGTGGCTCACAGCAAAATTAAAATACTGCAGTTACAGATATAAATACTGTACTGGTAAAAAATATACAGAAGATTGATATATTGAAACAGATTTAAACAAGCTATAACCCAAAATGTAATTGTTGTGAATTAAAGAGCAATTTAAAACATAACATTAAAAAAAACAGCATCAACTTTCCAAGCTTCTAGCAATGCACAGGTCATCAGAATTCACATATTAGAAAGATGGAAATTATTCCTAAGTACCCCTCCTACAATAGCTTAAGTCAGCAGCTTGAATTCCTGCCAGTCACTGCAAGAGCTTTCACAGAAGAGTTCAAGAGCTAATGTTTTATTCACAGATGCATAGGCTATCTGTAAATGGAAACCTTGATATGACACCACAAGCTGTAGCTTGATGTCCTGGATCTTACTCTGCTCCAGATAGTCAACATGAAAGCTCCTCTTTACTGCAGACAGAACCAGCAATATCTAGACAAAGTTTCATTTTAGCCATGGCCCAGCAGTGGAAAGAAAGCTTTGGTCGTTCCATGAACTGTTTAGTTAAACATCAGTAAGTCTCTTAAAGCATTATAGCAACATAATTCTCCAGCAATCTACCTGTTCTCTAGTTGTAACATTCTCACAACTTTTAGCAAGGAACATTACAATGTAGAAGACATGTCTTACTATTCTGGCTGGCTAGGTATAACCCTTGCAGTTCAAAGCTTCAGACTTTGGTACGTCGTAAGTTAGTAGACTGTAGTGTAAGTAATGCCCTCATAACTACTTCCCCTTATACCAGAATTGAGGGAAC